AAGGAGATTCAGCATGTTGAATGCTCACCTCCATGCTTGGTCCCCAGGGAGGTGGGAAGAAAAGAGCCTTCTTGTCGATTCAACTGTGAGTTCACACAGGAGGGGAGGCGAGTGAAGGTATAGTTTTTTCTGGGTGATATCTCAGAATTGTTGAGAGGCACCAGGATCTAAAAGTTGGAGGAAGCTCTGCCATTAAGCAATGGGGTTTGCGTCCTCATAGAGCCTTGGGCATAATCTGATCCAACTTCTTCTTTTCACAGCTTAAGAATCTCCCTTTTACAATTGTAGAGGCCAGAAGATTTGCCAAAAGTCACACGACAAGAGGCAGAGCAGAAATCTGTAGGGCAGGCAGGATTTCTTAGTGTTATGAAGAAGCGCTGGACTTGGAGTCCTGAGTCATAGTGACAGGCTTTCTGGCTAGAGAGATACCTTCCTATGTGACCTTGGACAAGAGTCTTTCCCTCTTTGGGCCTCTGTTTCCTCATTTATAAACTCTATCATTACCTCAAATGGTCTTTAGACTCTTCTGATTGTAAAATTCAATGATCCAGGAGTGATTAGGTGGGGTGAGGGGGACCAGGGATCAAACTTGGCTCCTTGCACTTACAAGACAGGGGGCAGAACCACTGAACTAAATCCCCGGCCCCCGGGAGTGATTCTTAAGCTTGAAGGAAGGGTGAGACCAACTCATCCAAGAGATGAAGGAATTCCAGACAGGGGAAATAGCACAAGCAAAGGCTGGGGAAGTAGCTGGATTCAACTGGACAATGGGAAGATGAGACTTCCAGGAATTTTCATTGTACAAGGAAGCACTTGGCATGGTGTTCAGTTCAAATCCTTTTCTCTTTTCCTGAACAAGGTTTCCATCTGCACATCTCTATCTCACTCAGTAGATGAAAGATAATGTTTTTGGAGGACTTGTTGAAAGTCTTTTCTCTTCTTTCAAAATAATAAAATCACAGCATGGCACATGGCTCCCATCTAGGCTACTGAGCACTTTGTGACCATGTGACAAAGCCACCACAAATGACAAGTAATATGCTGCTACCTCTGGGCTGATGTTCTTTTCCCATTTTGATCCTTCCTCAAGACAATATGCAGGCATGTCTGTGACCCAGTGTGACCATGCAGGGCATCTCCAAGGGGGGTGGTAGAGCAAACCTCACAGAAGAAGCTGGTTCTTGTGTTCCTTCATGGAGATGAGCAGCCCTCCTACCCCTATGTTGCTTGAGAATGAGCTAAACCTTTCTGTCTCTATTATGGCTTGTGTTTAGATGTCCCTCCAAAGCCTCATGCGGTCATAGGTGGGGCTTTTTCAGAGGTGGCTGATCTAGAGTGTGTGATAGATGCAATGCTAGAATTAAGGTGGTTGATTACTAAATTGGTCCACTGATTGTTTCGGCACACCCCAATACCTATAGCCTAGATAGAGTATAAAAGAGGCAGAAATACACTGTGAAGGTCCCTTGCTTGCTTACTGCCTTCTGCCTGCCATGAACTGTTTTTTCTCTGTGATGCCTGTTGCTATGCCACCCTACCTTGGAGCCAGCCAGTTATGGACTGAAACCTCTACAAAACGTGAGCCAATATAAAACTGTCAGGTATCTTGTGTCAGTGAGAAAAGTAACTAAGACAGCTCCTTCAGTCAGTGGACTCTGCAGTGATGAGTCTTTTGCTGTACCTATCACAATGTCTGTAGGTGATTAGGGGCAGAGAAGGAAAATCAAATGACTGTTCAGCATCAAGTTTGGAGAGTCTAAGGCTTAGCAGGCTTCCCCTCTGATGAAGAACTTTGTGTTTGACCTCTCTTCCTAGGTGATGGCTATCAGTCTATTAAAATGAACGCAAGTTCCCCATCAAAATAGGAAAACAAAGGAAAGGATGGAGGGAGGGACAGAGAGAGAGGAAGAAAGGGAAGGGAAGGCAAAAGTGAAGCCAAAAAAATGAATGCTGGGGTCACAGAGCTGGGCTGGTCATAGAGATGGTCTTATCCCTCCCTCACTCCTAGCTCCCTTTTATAAAAGCGGAAGCAATTTTAAGAAAGATATAGTTGTAACTCAAATATTTGGGAGTTGGGGTGACAAGCAGGTCAGTGCATGCGTGCTGTTGTCCATGGTTCTGAAATTTCTCATAGGTCATGATAATTTCCCCCAACCGGGACATTGATGATTCCTGTGTGTTCTCTTCCAGGAATTCTGAGCCGAGGAGGAAAGAGAGGGGCCTGGGGCAGAAGGGAGGTCACTGAAGGAGAAGGGCTTAGAGACAGAGGCTGTAGAGAGGCCTGACTGTGGCAGGTTGTCGGAGGAAAAACAGAGAGACTTTGGTTTTGACACTGTTTTCAAACATTGGTAGTTACCTGGAAAGAAACCAGCCACTCTACAGCTATAGCCTAAATACAGAATGACGGGAGAAGAATAAGAAATGCGCGTCTCAAGTGATGCAAATCTATGCATGTGTCAACATGAGCAAACAGATTCAGATGGGCATGCAAAACGCAGTGGAAGGGGTGAGTGGGCTGATGAGAGTTAGTCTTTGTTTTCCTTTTCTTGTCTGATGAAAAATTTGCAATTTTTATACTGTCACAAAGCAATCAAAACTGTGATTATGCTTCACAATTTTGACAGCTAGTTTCATGTACTTTAGGTCGTTCTGTTCTGTTTTACGCAGTTTGAACAATTTGCTTTTCCCTAGGAAGTTGAGGACAAACAGCACATGCCTGCCTTTGGAGAGGAAACCACCCAGTGGTGTATGCTGAATGCTGCTTTGAGTGTTCTGTGCGTAAAAAACTCCTTTATTCCTCATCACAGCTCAAGGAGGTAGGGAATATTAGAGTCAATGAGGAAAAGGAGTCAAAGTAGTAGGTAGCCAATTTGATGCTGGAATTTGAACCAGTAATCTGACTCCATATCTTGCATTCTCAGCCCCTGGCTAGCACACTCCCTGGTATCTTCCTTGGCTGCAGCAGAACTAGACACAGGCTTCCCAATTTCCACCACAGGCCCTTTCCTTCCCACTGTCTCCACGGAGGTGCATCACAGAACCAGAGAGCATTTGCTGAAGGGGAGGCATCCTGAAGGAGATGCACCCATCTGCTCTGTGATGAAGGGGAAATCACAAGGAAGAGAAAGAAGGCTCCTGCTGCGAGCCAGGCTCTGGCCCCCTTCATGCCCCAGGGAGTTCTGGTCAGGGAGGAAGATCCAATTTCCAGGCATGGTTGAAACCGGAGCTGGGAGCACCTTCCCAGTTGCCTCCTGCGCCCTTCTCCCATGTGTGCTGAAGTGGAATAGGCTGAGGGGACAAGGGGAAGCATTGTTCCCACCCCAGCCTTGTGTGACCTGGATACCAGCGGAGCGTGGAAGAGTTTGTGTAACTTTGCTGGGGGTTAAGAGCAGGTCAGTGTGGGGCTGCAGCCCAGGCTACTCTCCCAGCAGAGGAATCATTGGGCCAAGCCAGGCAGCCCCGTGGGAACAGAAGAGCATACCTGCTGCCCATGCCCTGAGACGGGAGGACCGCCCAAGCCACTGGGCATGAAGATGCAGACCCCAAGTCCCCCGACTCCCCACCTCCAGCCCTGGGCCTTGGGCACAGAGGCAGGTCGCAGAAGCCTAGGCAGACAGGGCCTGGAGACAGGCATCCCACTGCACGCGTTCAGCAGGTGGACACACTGAGTACCATTCACTCATTCATTCATTCATCCAACAAACACTTGTGGATTGTTACATGCAGACATTATTCTGGGAAGTTTATTATAGTTCTCATTTAGGTTGGCATTCAAGAGAAGAAAGAGGGGCTTAGAGAGGGTATATTTCCAAGGTCACACAGCTGGTGCGAGGCAGATCTGAGTGCCAGCTCTAGACTCTCTCTAGCCTGAACACGAACACACATGAAAATGGTACATGGAAAGGAGAGGGTCCTGAGAAGCCACCTGATCCATTCCCTTGTTCCCTGGCAAATGATATGACAGAGTTCGTGCCACTCAACAATTTATTTGGTGTCTACTCTGGGCAAAGTATTTAATTGCTTCTCTTCTTATGGGAAGATTTTCAGGAATGAACTAGCTTTCTGCATTGGGAAGTTAGTCCTGATTAAAATCTCTCCTCCTTTCACTTAAGCCATTTTTCCCATTCCAAGAATGTGAATATAACAAGTGTTTCAAGCAAAGCTCTTCCCCATCACAGGGTGACTGAGAGCTGGCATAGCGTCATGAAGGTTGGAAGTGCAACCATTTGTTCAGGCTCTGGCCTTTCGTAGTCAGAACTCAGTGGAGACTGGTAGATGAATGAAAACACACAATTTAAGCAGTACTTCCAAACTTTGCAGAAGATGCCCACACAACTGTCTTTCAGTCCAGAAAGCAGTCCTGGAAGGCAAACAGTTTATCCCCAATTCATAGATGTAAGAATTCAGGCTCAGCTTAAATAGCTGACTGAGTACCACAGGGGCTCATGAACAGTGGGGGGGGGGCCCAGGCCACTTGACTTCCATTCCATCCCACCTCCTAGGAAGCTGTGTGACTCAGGCACACGTGCATGGCACTCCTGGGCGTGACATTGGCAAGTGTGCTCCTCTGCATTCTTGCAAGGAGAGAAATGCCCAGTTGGGCTGGAAGCCCAGGGGAAGAGGTGGAGGTGGAGGAGGGGCTTCTATCCAGCCAGATGTGCTGGGAGGGAGTGTGAGTTCACGGCTCGGGTTAATGATCCCTGCTGCCCACATCACTGGGTGGGTGATGGAACAGGTGGCAAAGATGGAGGTGACCATCTGAAGACTGGGGCTGGCTGGGTTGGGAGGCACCAGCTCAGCCTGCACAAAGATGAGTTGCCCCCAGGGAGACAGACAGGGGTGACTCATCCCATGGTCCCCACCTTAGCTCAGATCTGCCATCAGCATGCACCCAGACCATTATAAGTACCTCCTATTCCTGAACTCGACCTCCTCACTGCTGGCACAGTGGGCTCACACAGCACAAACCTCTCATGCTGCCACTGCAGCTTGGCCTTTTTACCTGCAACACCTGTCCCCTCAAGCTCTGAAATTGATCTTTCTCTCTTCTCAACTCACAGCTCGTGTTTTCTCTTGTGACATTCATCCCCCTTTCACCTAGCAAAGATAAGGCCAAGGAAAGGTCAGTATCAGGGTTTGCAGTGGGCCTATGGAAGTTTGCCCAAGTAACAACACAAGCTCGGCCTTGGTGCAACCCGTTTCCAGCCATCCCAGGACCTGGAGCACATGGCACCTGCAGTGGTTAGTTGAATGGCATCCCACGAGGACAAGAAAGAGCGACAGGAAAGCCTGTGTTTCTATGCTTTCTCCTCAGGACCATGAGCTCCTTAGGCATCTCATTTTTTCTTCTCTGGACCCTAGCACAGCAGGTGCCCACGGGAAGGGCATTGCAGCCTACACTGGTCATGGGAAGGGACTGGGGAGAGGCAGGACAGGAGGACAGCTCAAAGTCCAGGCTCTAGAGCCAAGTTGAACCTGGATTCAAATCCTGGCTCTGTCATTTATTTAGCTGTGTGACATCTGAGCTTTGGTCTCTTCATCTGTTAAGTAGGGATACAAGTAGGGCTGCCACTGCTCTGCTCCAAGTCCTTGGTCACTTGAGCCTGTCCTCTAGGTGTGGCACAGGAAGGACTCTGCCCCTGGATATGCCTGGGAGACCAGTTTAGTCAAAGTGAATGGTGTGAACTATGGAGCCTGACCCGCTTTCCCATCCGGATGGGATACCACCCCCCAACACCATGGGTACCATGTGCCTGCCCCCAGGCCTGAGCCTGTGTTGCCTCCTGGCCAAATGCAACATTATCACTGTGAACTCTGGGCACTGCCTTACTTTCCCTCTGCCAGGCCAGGATCCGTGTCCATCCTCAGAGTGTGTGCCGAGGAGTCAGGTCCGGCAGCTCCTGCCTCTGGGGCTCCTGTAGGGGAGCAGGCTTATCCACATTTTCCAGAGGGAGACCTGAAGCTCAGAGAGGCCAAGCAGCAGGCCACACAGCTGGAAGTGCCAGGCCAAGCACACAGCCGCCCTCTGCCCCAGCCTGATTCTCTCCAGGCCGTAGTCCTGAGAGGTAGCTGCAAAGGAAGCTCCCTTACCCCATAGTAAATGATTGCCTTGCTCCTCCTTGCCTGAAACAAGCTCCCTGGGCTCTGTCCCAGAGACAGGAGAACACAAGGCAATAGATTCCCTGGGGGGAGTAGAGACTCCGAAGGAACTGGTGGCCATGGACACCAAATCCTAGCAACAGTGGTGCACTTGCCCACACTAGCCTTGTTCTGGCCAGAGTCCCCTGGTGACCAGATAGCTTAGGGAAAGGGAAGGTGATTAGAGTAGGAGTGAAGGACAGAGTGGGGGTGCTCTGCAAGCTCCAGCTTCTGTGGGCTTGCTGGCTCCTTTCAATCCCTGTGCTGACCATTCAGCACACTGACCACTGGTGCACGTCTGTGAGGACTCATGGTTGCCAAGGACAGAAAACCCTCCTCAAACTGGCTTCAGAAAATGAGAGATTTATTGGTTCTCATAATAGAGTCATTGAGATGTGAGTCAGCTTCAGGTGCAGTTTGATTCAGGGCCAAAATGACATCACCAGAATCCCTCCTGGGGTGGTTGCGGGTGGCGGTCTCCCTTCTGCCCGACAGGTGGCAGAAACATCTGACTGAGGTGAATGCTCCCCTGCTCCCCTGGAAAGAGGGAGGCCAGAAGCCAGCATTTCATTGCCTCGGATTTGTCTCTGTGCCCTGAATCAACCACTATGGAGGTGAGGGCAGGGAAGACAGACAAATTAGTCCAGAACTTGGAGCTGTGGGTGGTACGGTTCCCACCAAACTGCCTAGGGAATAGGAGATAAGTAGCGGCCCAAAGGGAACTGGAGCTTCGGTTTTTAGATGGGGCAGGGAACACTGGACAGCCCATAGCAATACCCCCAACACCATCTCCCCCGGCAAAGAGAACTCCACCCCATCTGCACTGGACCCTTCTTCCATCTCATCCTGTCCTACTCCTGAACTTGCTGTCCAGGCCCCTTTGAAGGTCAGAAGCAGAGCCTGAGACAAGCATTTGGGTGTGGGGGTTTTGTGGGCCGTGGTCTCAGGAGAAAGGGCAGGAGAGAAACAGAACAGGCAAAGCAGGCGCTGAGCAAGGACAGACTCAGCCTCATCTCACAGGGAGGTCGGGAACATAGACTGTGCCAAGTCACCCTCCGTGAGGCCAAGGACTGACTTTTTGTACACCCCTCTTGTCAGCTACTCAGCCACTGGTTGCAGGCTCCCCAGGAGTGTGTAGCACTTTAGGGAAGGCAGCTCCCACTCTCCAAGGGCAACTGTTCAGAGATGGCGGCAGCCGAGAGCCATTAGCAACTACCACAGTCCCAAAGAGGATGTGGGCAGAGCATCCACTAAAGCTCCTTCTCTTGCTCTTCAGACTGAGCCCTCGGTCCTGTTTCCTTGACGATGATCCAACTCACTCATCGATCCCTGGGCTATACAACCTTCAGACTCCACTGCCTGTCTCTAAATGCCCCTCCAAGCTGGGTGGAGCCTCAGGGCCCCTCGGTTTGGCCCTGCTCACAAGGGGCCCATGGACCTACAAGGCCCTGGAGCAGGAACCAGCCGGAGGGAGCTGCTCCGTGTGCAGATGGAGCCTGCCACAGGGCCAGCACTGGCATGAGGGCTGCCTCGGGAGCCCCTGGGCCCCTGGTTTCCTCTGCCTCCACAGGATGCCTCCTGCCTCCTCATGAACAAATCTGAGCCTCTTCTCAGGGCAGTCAATTCTCGTGGCCCTCCCACTTCCCAGCTCTGGATTCTTCTCTGGGTCCCCCTGAGAAGAATGATTCCAGCAAACGCTTGCTGGGGGCTAACTGCTTTTGAAGGCTGCTACTGTGCCTTATCAGGGACTTTGCCTATGTAGTTTAAGAATGCCTCCCCTGCCCCAGCACAAACTTAAAGGACAGGCAGCAAATATTTGTAAGATGTATGACCAACAAAAGGTTAACACTCTAATATACAAAAAGGTTTTATAAATCAATGACAAAGTATATGAGCACTGCAATATAAAAATTGGCCAAAGAACATGAACAGGCAATATTGTAAAAGAAGAAATAGCAATAGTCAATATGGATATGAGAAGGTGCCTGACCTCACTAGTAATCAAAGAAATTCAAATTAAAGCAGCAAAGATTAATCATTCTTTTCTTCTTTCCAATTGGCACCTAGTCCACGCTGATGAAGGTGTGGAGAAATGGCCACCCTCGTGCCCTGTGGGATAACAGGAGTGTGAAGAGGTAAATTCTGGGAAGGCAGTTTAGAGACCCCTCAGCAAGCTTTTAAAATGTGCATGACCTTAGAATCTATAATGCAACCTCTTGGATTGTATCCTAAAGAAAAGAAGATATGTCCAAGGGTGTCCATTTAATGACATTTGTCATAGAAAAAGAAAATAAAAAGAAGTAATTAGCGATCCATCAATAGAAAAGTGGCCGCTTGTGCTTCATTTATATAATGGAATCTTACACAGCCATTAAAAATGACATCTGTATCCACTGATCTCAAAAGAGCCCCATGACCGACTAAATGATGTAGAATTCATTTGTGTGGAATACTCTTCCAACATGTGTCCTAAATCAAGGAAAGAGTCTGTGAGATCATTCACCAAAATTCTGGATGGCAGAAATGTATTCTGTGGTTTGTGCCTCCTTCAGATAACCAGTGGCCAGTGACATACTGGGCTTGCTACTTGCCCCAGTCTTGCTCTGGTGGAGGTGACTCCTGCTAGGATCCAGAGGACTGGCTGGGCTGCAATCGAGTGATCATAAGGACCCAAACAGTGAACCGTCCTGGGACTCCTGACTGTGTTGCCTAACAAATCTCTCCAACGTTTATTTGGCGCGAAATGACATCCATTTTATAAACAAGTTCTGTTGTCAGGGGTCTGGAGAGGGTACTAGAATGGCTTTTCTCTGCCTCACCATATCTGGGAAGTTGTAGGTGTCTTGAATAGCTGGGACTGGAGTCAGCTTCAAGGGCAGGACCCTAACAAATCCAACACCCAGATCACTGGGCTTGGCAATGAGTAGATTCCTGGGCCACCCGTGCCTTTGAGAGGGGTGAACAGGAGAGTGACTTCCTGAGTCCAAGGTGAAGGCTACCGGGCAACATCTTTCTGCCACATTCTTTTGGTTGTAAATGAGTCACTCGTGCTTGCTGCCATCCAAGGGGAGGGGAATGAGACCTACTGTCCTGATGAGGAAGTGATCAGCTCACACTGCAGAGGAGCGTGTGAGATGCAAGATACTACGTGTATCCCTCTGTGGAAAAGACCACCCTCCATAGACAGTCCTCCTCCCTGCTGGACTGGAAGCTGAGAGATGGAAGGTTTAGAATGAACAGACCTGCCTTGAGCTCACAAAGAGAAGCTTGTGCATAAAGCCACCAGGAGTAGAGCCATGTGATGCAGGAGAACAGGAATGAGGGGAAGGGATTGGCCTAGATGGTACCATTTGAGCCTGGCCCTTGCAGTCAACCCACCCTACTCCTCTGTCCCAAGAGCCAATAATCCTCACACTTAAGCCAGTTCGTGCTGGCTTTGTTCTGTTTTATTACATCACTTGTGAGGAATTAGTCCTAATCAATGAGGGGATTTCACAGGAACTTTATTCCCTTTTTACACTTTTCCACATTGCTTGAATTTTCTGCAAGGAGTAGGTGGTATGTTCAGTGGTTTAAAATGTTACATTAAGCAACCACATGTGAGTTATCAATGGCAATAAGCATGATTTTAATAATCCTTCATCCTGATGCATCTGAAAAACTAAAATTCTTCTGTTATTATTATTGTCTCTCTCTCTCTCTCTCTCTCTCTCTTTTTTTTTTTTTGGCTTATCAGAGTACAGCTTCCACTCCTGTGCCACCACTGTTTTCTAGCTACGAAGTTTTCTCTAAGATTCAAGGATTTTCAGCTATTCCATCCAATACCCAGCGAAGGGTTGCGAAGGGGTTCTGGCGCAGCGTGGTCCGTGGCCTGCAGAGTCCTCCATCTAGGCAGGAGGCCATGGGCAGACACATTCCGCGTGAGGCCTAGAAGAACTAGAAGCATAATATGCTGGGGAAATGAAGAAAGAGAGCATTCTGACACAATGGAGGTGAAGGGTGTTTCCAGCAGAGGAAGTGGCTTAAGCCAAAAGCTGGTAGTGGGGCCATGCAAGATGTATGGTTGGCATCAACAAAACAGGCATCCACAAGATAAGAAGGATGATCTGGGTGGGAATTTAGGGGGAAGCTAAGATGATAGGTGGGAGACTAAGCTGTGAGGGCCGTGAATGCCAGGACAGCAGATTGGGGCTTTATCCTGAAGATCATGGGGCTCTAACCAGAGAAATGTCTTGAGAAGACCTGAGGTGGGAAGGTAGCTCTGATAGTGGTGTAGACAGAAGATGGGACAGACCTGAGGCCCGGTACTGTATGCAGATACGGCAGTCGTCCAGGTACGCAGTAATAAGGGCCTGGATTATAGACACTGTCTCTGAGTCTCACGTAGAAGCAGGCATTTCCTGCCATCTATGTCCAGGGCCTGTGCTTGGGAGCAAGGTCATTCTCGTGTTCTCCAGAGCCATATCTGACCCTGGCCGCAGATTTCATCCTTCCAAAGCCCCATTCACTGGGCTTCCCCGCCACACCAGCCCCCCTTTAGTTAGCCTGCACCAGGGCTCACCATTCAGTCAGCCAAGTGAGGAATCTCCAGACTGGAAGCAAGACTTCAAATAAATAATCACAGCTGAAAACAATAACACAAACAGGAACTGCTATCACGTACTACAAGGCACTACCAACATGTCACATGGAGTAGCCCACCAAGGACTCTCAGCAGCCTCACATCCATTTCACAGGAGGGAAAACTGAGTCTCTGCATCCCTGATGTAGTCTCTGCTCACTCTGGAGCCCGAGGTGCATATCTGATCCTCATTAAAGTCCTGCCCTCCAGATTCCACTCCCACGGTCTGTGGGGTCTCTGGATTCAGCCTGGAACACAGTGGTCGGCTTTTTACTGCTGCCTCTCTGTCCATACTCCACAAGGGTGTCCCCTCGTTCACAGCCCTGACACCCGCCCCCCGTGGGGCAGTTCTCTGACCCCTCTCTGCCCCTGTGCATCCTGTCTGTGCTAGAGGGTGACCTTCCCAGGGACAAGCAGGCAGA